AAAAAAAAAAAAAGACATTTAAGCCTCGGCTTTACAGCAAATTACATTCTCCCCTATTTTCCTTATCCCCTGCTAACTCCTATGACAATAATTAGCCGTCTCTCTTGCTCTCCTACAGGGACTAACAGCCTTATCACCTCCCGCCTTGAAACATCCTCCTCTGCTCAGCAGGTAGTAACTGCCCTATTCACTCAATTTGACTACCCAGATAATGTAATAAATTAAACTCTGAACAGTTGTTTCTATCCTGTAACATGCTGAAGGCTGATGACTCTCAAAAAGGCCTCATTTGCTCTAATACATGTCATTTTTTTCCTGCATATGTCAACTAGTCTCATAAAAAAAATATGGTCTTTCTCCCCAAAAGACTTGCTTCACTTGTGGTTATCGCAACTATCAAAATCCTAACACAAAGAAACTTTTATATCAAGAAAAGGAGAGTTTATTATTGCACCTACATGCTGGATTAAATATTTACAGACTGAAAGTCTTTAGAAATGTAGACAAAGCCAACTGAAATCAATGGAAAAACTGTCATTTAAATGGACTTTATTTCAAGACCTTGATCGAGGCAACACACTTAATTTCATCCAAAACAATCCTGTTATACCATTCAGCGACAATAAAATGCGACCTTAAAATGAATGCTATTTATATAGACTTTCTTACTGTTCCACACTGCAGGTAGGATGTGATGGAGACTCATCTGAAGACCCAGAGAGCAGACAGGAAGATAAAAGAAACCATAAAAAGCTATTTTTACAGGAACCAAATATTTCTGGAATCTGAGTTCACCTGCCTTATCTAAAGAACAGAAAATTTAGTTCTCTTTTTAATGTACGTGTGTGCCTCACACTTTCATTAAATAATTGCATAAAACTTTTTTTTTAATAAATTCAACGTAGCCCTATAGCAAGTTGTGAAAACTATCACTAAATAGTTCCAACATTTTTTATTTATGATTCCTATAGTCTGATTGCTGTGCAAAAACTAATTAAAAAAAAAATTAACTCCTGGTTCTCCAAACCCTAGCAGGGGCCTTCACAAATCACCAGGCTGATATTCACAGATATATCAACTCTTGCAATAGCACTTTGGTAGTATGAGACGTGTAGACAAGTAAATTCTTCTCAAGATGAAGGTATCTCAAATCAGCTTGATAAAATAGCATGTTTGGATTCTCTATAAAGGGAATGAATTATTAGTTTACATTCTACTGTCACTAGGTATCTTTCCTTGCTCTTTGATGCTGGCAATTGGTTATTTCCCTGAGGCACTACAGTGATGCATTTACATGTCACCACATCCCTTGCCGTGCTGAATTGTCACTCCCAGATTCAACATGGCAGGCCGACGCAGAAATTCAAGCACATCTGAGGGCTGACAACTTCTGCCTTACAAATATCCTGCACTGCTCTCAAGTCATTGCAGGGTTTGCTCTGCTAAATAAAAATAAAACTCCAGTTCCTATTAGCTGATGGTAATGGAAGGGAAAGGGGGATAGGGTTTTCCTTAATTTCAGTGAGTACGTAGGATGGAGCATTGAGAAGATCAAACACAGCATCTTTTCATGACCTCTTAATTTGGCATCACAAATCAGTGACACACGAGAAGACTTAAGACCCTGGCCACAGGTCACATTAAAGAAGTTTCTAAAGGTGTGACCTGAATCTAGCAGTACGTAACCACTGGTGGCCAGGATACTATAGCTATTTGCAGGATGCTATAGCTAGTTTTCTCTTAACTACTCCCTCAGTCAGATAGTTGGCAATTCTTAATAGATTTCGCTTACTACTACTTACCCCATCTCCTCCTGCATCTACATACACTCTTAACAAGCACAAAGTCCTTCAACGAGGACTTTGCCATCCCAGGTATCAACAGGTCAAATATCCTCCTGTGAAGGACAATTCCCCTTCTGCTTCTTGTAAATGTGGCTCCTACTAGCATATTTTCCTGTCCCTGACTACTTGCCCAAGAAGCAGGAGTAACTGCTGTGCAATTTCTCATAATGGGCAGTCTGCACTACTTTTGTGCTGAGAAGACAGCTAGTAAATAGGGCAGATCTTTAGATTATTATTTTAAAGCATTTTCTGAGGTTTCCCAAGGGTCCAGCCCTATGACCATGACAGTGGTAATTACAGAAATTTGACTTCTCGTAACCTATTGCAATTAAAACCAGTAATCACTTCAGAGAACAAAGAAAAGATCCCCTATCATTTCTCCACACTCAATGACCTAGGGCAGAAAAAAAAAAAAACAGCCCCACAACAAAAAATGCCACAACATGCCATCAGGGACAGAAGAAACCCCAGAGAGAAGATAGATAGCCTGTCCAAATAGATAGGGCTACCATGTAGACAGGTTAAGTATCAGGCAATATAAAAATGGAATTGTGAAGGCAAGTTCCAGTTCAAAGAGACAGGCTGCCTTGTTATCTTGAGATGTCTTCTCAAGGGGATTTACTGCAAGTCTGACAACTGCAAATGAGTTACAGAAAAGAACAGGCGGAATGATAATCACAGCCACCACCCGAGAGTACGATACATAGTACGGTATTCTGTTATTGACAACCTGTAGTTTCTTCCTTGGACTTTAAATGCAGCTGATTTGGGACCATTATTTATACGGATGAGGAACTACTTCATAAGCGGAAATCTATGCCTCCAAAGCTGATGTGTCATTCTTCTACTTGTGTGAAAGATGTCAACAATAAAAAACCCAAAGCTGATGGGTGTGAAAACCCTGAAGTTTGGCTCACTGACTGTGTGAACATTCACAAAGGCACAGAGAATGAAGCAGAGACTGAGTGCTGAAGTCTTCCTCCCTTTTGGAGGCAAAACCTAGTGTCTCTGAGCATTAATGGCTTTCTAATCCCAAACCAGACAGTTTGTCCTCATAAATCTTTTGTTAGGAGACAAAGGTATTTTGGGGACTAACAACGCAGAACCATCTCTGGTGATCTCCAGCTTGTGGGGAGGGAACACAAGTACACAACACGTTGTTGGAAGAAGCGATTCCAAGTCCATGCTATATTTAATTATTCTTCTGTGCTGTTCCTCTCATTGCGTTTCCACTCCTGACAACCTTAGCAACTACAGAGATGCGAAGCAGAGAAGCTTGCAGGTCCCTGGTGATATGGATTGTTGCTTGAAAACCTCAATGAACTTTGAGTAAAAGCATTTAGTGCAGAGAAAGTCTGGCAGGCAAAAGACTACATTTAGCAAGAACAAGTTATTTTAATTTGAGTAAGTAAATTGCTAAGGAGTTGGGAAGAGCAGGAAGATGGGAGAGGGAGATCAGCCTGTGAAAGCTGGAATTACCTGAGAGTTGCTAGAGGAGGTAAAGAGCTGTGATGGAAAGGATGTTGGGAAACAGATGTAGAGGGGCTGTTTCCTATAGAAGGATGTTATCTAAGATTATGAGGCACCGTGAGTGTGACAACCTTTCCATGCACTTTGCATACACAAGCATCACAGACACAGCACATAGCAGCTCATAAATCTTGCAAGATGCAGTACAGCAGCCAGCTTTTGAAAACTATTGCGTTAAAATCATCACTTCTGTGAGGGAGATTGAAAGATGGGGGCACATCCCTGCTACCTTAAATTGACGGAAGGAGCAAGATTCCTAGACCTTCGATCTAGCATTGGCTGAATCGAGTATTGTGATAACAGAGTTTCATTGCTTGGGGCCACGTTATACCCAGACAATACCCTTCAGAGAAAAAGCACATTACAAAGTTTTTCTTTTCCCCTTTAGGAAGGCCTTCCCATTACCCAGCTGGCAAAACAACCAGCTGTTTAATGACCTAAGCAGCAGACCAGGGCTCTTTGCTCCCCTTCGAAAGTAAGCTGAAGGGAAGAGCAATTTAACACAGTTCATAAGATTTGTGCCTTAGAGTCCTGAGTCAGAGCGATCAAACTTGAGGTTATTAAAGCAAAGACTCTCAGTCCCAGGCTAGGGGATCATCCTGGAGGCAGTTTTGACTGCCAGCAACACAATTCAGGATTTCTCACCCATTCCCTTTCCATTTTCCATTTCCCTGTACATTCAGCCTCACCCTAGGCAGGGAAAGTGAGGAAAGGAACGACTTCTTGCGGTCTTCTGGTTTGCTTTGTTGTAGCTTCAGTCTGTTTATACACAATTGATACAAACTAGAATATGTCATGAGACCCAGAACCAGTTTCACCTCCACATTCTCCAAAGACACAGCATTAGCCAAAAGGCGTATATCAAAGCAAGGTGCAGGAGTGAGGCACAAGTTGAACAAAGAGCTGAATTATTTACAGTTTGTCAAGGCTGCATGGGAGTGTGCTGTTCTCACAAAATAAAATGTTCTTTATTTTGCTCATGATATATTTAAATATATCTGTAATTTTGGACATTATTAGGTGTAAAGTTACATTTGTGTGTTATGTTAGCAGGCTAGATAAGGCCATAGCTCCTTTTGCTTTACCTCTACCATCCCACATTTAGACACTAGTACCAGGCCAATGGTTCTCAGAACTCCCAATACACTGAATATAAGGGGCAGCACAAAGGGAAACATTTCCAATAATAAAAGAAATATTTATTCCTCTCTATAATACCAACTCAAATAGCAGAATAAAATTTTGCTACTACTGTATGTGACAACAGTGATGAAGAATGGTTCAGAAAATAAGATTTTATCTGAGTTAACCAGAAAAAAAAAGTCTCTATGACTTCTATCACACCATCAAAAAGACACATTTTAATCTTGGAAAAGGAATTGAAAAGTTTCTCCAAACAAATTCTAATACACCTGGGAAGTCAGAGAAATGTATTAATTTCCACATGTGTCTTTCAATAACTGTCACCACAGCAGACAACGCTGGCTGGCGTTAGCCTCAGCAATTTCATTTTAACAAGCTAATTATGCCCATAGCTATCTAAATCTGAACTCCACTCATTCGGTGCAGCCAGCAGCATCAACAGCATGAAAGTAAAGAAGGAAGGCATACATTATCGTTTCTTACCACAGTATAGATCTGAGGTTTGCGTCTCTTTGCCAGGTCAATTATATTGACTCCGTTGTAATAAAGGTTCTCAATGCATCCATGGAAATTTTTCCTCTGAAAGGTTCCTGGTTTGCCCGGGACAGGAATCCCTCCAAAACTGAGCTTTTGGAAAGAATAAGAACAGTATTTAGTTATCACCCCAAAAGCAAGAGGGCTGAGTCCCCCTCCATGCAGCCAGCCGGGATATTATTTAAGAACCAAGTCACATTAACAGCATCACCTTGGAGCATGAAGCAGGGCCTGGCTGTCCAACAGAGGAATTACAGGCTGCAGAGCATTACAGCTGTCAGGGAAACGCTGCTGCTGCAGAGAGCTCACTAATTTGGAAACAGCTTTTAAGTGCCTTGACACACCACTTCACCAACCTGGTACCATCAAGCCCCCCACCCAGGAACACCCAATGCACAAGGTAACATTCAAATGGTCTCCAGCCCACAGCCCCCACTGGCCTGGAGGCTGCCACCCAGCAGCGGACCACAGCGGCCGGGAACTGCTGAGCAATGGGGGAATAAACTCTTCCTGCCCACTGAGCACTGGGTTTGCCTGTGAGCTGGAATCGCCCCTTTCCACCAAGCTTGTATCTGAACAGTTCTGGTTTCAGCTAGTAGTATCACACACACAGACTACCCCATTTGCACCTTGCGAGTGTTTTCCCTAAATTTCACTGTGGTTTGGGTCTTTACAATATTTGTACGTGGTACTTGGGACTGAGCAGCGTAATGGAAAAGTTCTGCAGGTTACACATTTAAACAAAACTTCTGCTCTGCTGTTGTCCAAGTACTGAAAGATTTTAGTATTGTGCAGATTACAACTCATCACTTAACTGGAGGGCTGAAAGCCCTGGGAGGACAAAAAGCCTAAGAAAATAAAGCTTCCAAAATCCATGGAGCATAATTACTTCAGATTCCTAAGAAAAAAAAAGAAAGGGAAAAAAAAAAAAGAACAAAACAAGCAAATCCCACAACCCAAAAAACTTCTGATAATCCTATTTTCATTTTCCGCATGACCCAGCTCATTTTTAATTAGCTCCACTGGCCTTTTTGGCAAAGTCTTACTGGTGGTACTGCCGAGTTTTTATTCATTTTTCCCATCACAGCCAGCAGCATCATGAGTGATATAATGCAGGTGGGGATCCTGCAGCCACCACACTTCACAGTGCTTCCAGCACATCAGGAGCTGTGCTGCAATCCTGCTGCATCCACTGCAGCAAGGGCATGCACTGCTGTGCGGCACCACTTACACGCTGACGGCTGCTGGAACCTGGTCAGCCTTATCCCTCTGCCACAACTCTGAACAGCTCCCCTCAGCTCATTATTGCAAAAATAAAGGGAAATTTGGGGGTTATTTTTCCTCCCACTCCACCTAACAAGCTGGGATACATAAGCAAATGAAACATCCCTGGATAACCTTGAAAGCACTTCTTTGAATACAAGTCCTTAATGAACTTGCACCTTAGTTGAATTAATTGATCACTTCAGAGAAATAAAGAGTGATCAGACTGCTACTTTACATCACTTACAGGTTTGTTATTGGCATGAGTGCTTATGTGGTAGCAATGTTTTTTTCCAGTGAGAATCATTAATTCTTGCTTAAAACACCAGACTTTCCTTCTTTCATGTTCTATTCTCTAAGTCTCCTGCTTAGGGACTCTGTACTGGGTTTCAAAACCAGAAGAAAAATCAATACCAATTATACCACTCCATTATTAAGAAAACAGTTTCCTTTGTGATTGGCAATAATTTTAATTACCAAACTAATGGTTTTATTACCCTCAGCGAGGCCTTTAATCCCTGGAGTGTGCTGAGATAAACTTTCAGTAGACTGTATTGCTGTAATGTTCAACTGAAAGATTGTTTCAGTGTAAATAGAAAGAAAACACATTGTGTGAAAAACTAAGCACCAGGGGCCAGGACTGAGTGCCACAGAGGTCAGTGAGTGATGCTGATTTACACCAGCTGAAGATCTTCTCTACCATGCTCCCTGTTTTGGAACATCTGGAAAAACGTTCTGCAAATTACACTGGAGCCTGAGTTTTCCCTAATTGGCATCAACCTTGTAGCAGGAAGCAAGGAATTTTATTACTTTGAAATTAGGAAAGCTGATGACTCAATCATTTGGCTTTTCTCAACTCCATTTTAAAAGTAGTTACAGCTTTGGCCCTTGCTAGTTCAGTCTGAAGCTGTTCCAGAATCTCACTGCAAAAATGTGCTGTCCTTACTAAATGTGCTCGTGATTTGGTGCAGTGGCGCCAGGGGACAGGTACCACTCTTTCTACCCTGCTTTGTGAAATGCAAAGAAGGGAATTTCAGCTGGAACATGAGAGGAGCAGAGAGCAGGCACCTGCCACTGCCGAGCTGTCTGCATTTGTCCCTTGGGTGTGCTGGGAATTGATCCTTTCCAGAGAAATGAATCCGAAGCGCAGAGGGGAAACTTGTGGTCTCTTAAGCAATGAACCATGCCAGCTCAACGCATCCAGACAGAGTGATGGCTCTGACTGTGCAAGCATGACCCTGTGCCTTGTGAGCTAGCAAGGCTTGGTAGACAAATGCATGGGGATAAAAATTAACATGGGTTATTTGCACGCAGATGTGCATTGGTGAGGGGAACAGATGAGGAACTGCCTTGCATATGGATGTAAAAGTTTAAGGTATTTTGTAGCGACTATCAGCCATAAGCACTGAACTGCTGGAGTGATATAAACTGCACTCTGCCACACCTTGGCCTCGTGACAGGGGATCATACCAGCCTCAGGTTTCGTGGGCAGCCAGGATGTTTCCTCTGCTCAGTCTTCTCTTGGCTGAACTGCTCTGGCTCCCTAGACCAGTATGCTCTGCATCACAGCCCCAGATGTGAAGGGACCTGGGTCAGAGCCAGTTGTCTTGACAGTCATGCTCAGGGTCTTCCATTCCTAGTGGCAAGACAATGGTCTTTACCTGCTCATCTTTATGTGGAGGGCTATAAACTGAGCAAGTGGTGGCTGCATAGAGGCACAACTCAGAGCTGGTATCCCCATGGTCATGTCAATAAGATGCAGGGATGGTGTGCAATGATCCCACATTAAAATCATACTGGAGATGATGACACAGCACTTCTCCATACAGATTAGCGTGGTTGCTCGCTGAAGATTTGACTAGAAGCCAGGCTATACCTTTGAGTTTAGCTCAAAGTCTGCTGTACTTTGAAGTGTAAGCATAATCCAATGCATATTTGCCCAGAGACTAGCCATTTTCCGAGACTGTCGTACACAGAGTTGCACTGATGTAGTCCATGTTTGTTAACCATGAAAAGAGCTCTCTGGGAAGGAAATATTAAATAAAGATCTTTGCTGGGTGGTGGTTTTCTGTCACATTCATCTTATACCAATTCAGCCTCATCTCCCAGGTTATAACCTAAAGGGCTTCACACACCTCATAATCAATATCCAAGTGATCTGAATCCCCCTTTGTTCGGAAATGCTGGGTGTGCTTGTCCACCGTGAAGTTCACTTGCTTGTTGAAACGCTCTATGAGAACTGAGTGCCAGTGCTGATCATCCAGGAGGCTGCCCAGGGTGACGGATGTGTGGCTGTTACTGAAGTGCAGGTTGGAGTCCCCTGGAGAGGCAGAGACAGGCAGAAGACACCAGAATTACCTCCAGGCCCTTAACTGAAGCGTGGGGACTTAAGGGGAGCACAGAGCAGTGCTCCTAGATGCAAACTAGAGCTTTGCCCATCAGAAACAGACCCTCGTCAAAGCTTGCTTTAGATTCTTTGGGTCTCTTATTCATATATCTGTGTATACGCACATGCACACATACACACTTTTTTTCCCCCTGAAATCCTTATGATAAGCCAGGAGGTTTTCCCGATGCTGCACCCATACCTTGCAGCACACAGGGGATCGCCACTCTGCCTGTGCCCTTGGTTCTGCTATGCATTTGAGGCCCTGGTGTTTTAAGAGCTCCCTTCAGGTTGCATCAAAATATCCTTTCTATTCACATTAACAGATCAGTCCTGACACTTCAGTTTCGACTATGTACTTCTTGTATTTTAACAAGAAAATTGCATCTGTCCATTTTCAGACAAAAAAAGCCACAAGTCAGTGAAGCAACATGAATGCGAGTGTTTTGTTCAGCTCAAAAAGATTCTTAAACCTGGCCTAGATCTCCAAAAGTTTAGATCAAGAGTCATAAAAATATTTAGGCCCTAACCCTGGTGATTTCAAGCACTCTTCTGTTTTCCAGTTGGCTACACGCCTGAACACTTCAGAGCCTCTCACTGAAAGGGAGTATGTGTCCTTTTTTATATTCCAGCAGAATGGAGAGAACACATACTCCAAAACTGTCAGGCAAGATGCAAGCAGATTCAAGAACAGACATCAAAACCCTTGCCCATGACATATGAATGCATACAGAGGACTGGAAATGGCTAAAAACTGTACTGCTGAAAAAAAAATAATAAAAAATCTTCTTATCTCAGACTATGAGACTATTCACAACATCATATCCTCTGGAAGAAGTAACATAATATAATTAACTATAGTATATTCTTATCTTAGTATGAAACATTTGTAAGAGGAGGACAAATCCATAGAGTCAAAGAATCCCATATCGAGAGGCTCAGGAAGTAGCTACTTGGTCCAAATAACATCCAAATACCAAATCAGAAAAATGCTGCATTATCATTTCTAAACAAAAAGAAAGAAAATACTAGCTGGAGACTAAACAATTAATGAGGTTATGTAAGAATGAAATCCAAGAGCTACGGAAAATTGTTACTAACATTTAAAACAAACATAATTAAGTAGGAAGGAAAAAAATGCAGAAAGAATTATCTACAAATTCTGTTTTAGTACCTCCACTTTTCTCTGACTAGTTTATGATTTCTTTTAATTACCCAAGTCACAAACAGGGGACTGAGATACCACACCATTGCCTTCTTTATCTGTTCTAGACAAACTTCTTGGTGTCCTGGAATTGCTAGTCTGACATTTGCCCCTGCTAATACTATACATTACTAGATGCTAAATCTCCCATTTTTATTAAAATCAGCCTTGGCAGTCTAAGGACCACATACATGAACTGCAAACAGCTCAGATTACTTTATTGAACAAAGTTATTAAGATTGAGAGTGGTAGTGTCAAATGTGGACCTTAATTCCCTCCCCTCCTTGCCCACACCCTCATGGTTAACAGTGGGAGGGCTTTTGGTTCAGCTTTCCATCTGGATGGGCCACTGAGGCTTTCAGACCAAGTTCAATACCCAGACAGGGTAAGCGCAGCTCCTGTGCTGACCAAAGTACAGCAATGCAGGCGTGGAAACTTCTGCCCAACTCAAACCCCTCAGTATGAGAAACGTGAGTCAGCAGGGACTGCTGAGGCCAGTACCATGGGTCACCCACAGATGAAGCTAATGAAGATTTTGCAATAAGGCTGGGAGAGGGGGTGTGATCACTCCTACTACAGTAGCTCCTGCCATTATCAAAGTGCTTTAGCGTATTCACCAGGAAAAAGCAAGCATCCTTCTACAGAAAGAAATTAAGCCAGCCTTTCATCTGTCCCTCTGATCTAATATAATCACACAGTGATGGCCTTCCAGATACTCAGTTTTCAACTGAAACCATCTCCAGAAACAAAGCAATACAAGTGTGCACAATGTTTTGACCAGAATATTTTCATTTAAGTTCTGTATTCTCAGCTCAGTTCTGATCACAGAATGGAAAGAATAAGATACAAACCAAAAATAAACCTTCTGCACTCCAAACCAAACTTCCTGGGAATGCTATTCTTAAAAATCATAACAATAAAAAACGAGGAAGGGGAAGAAAGTGAACTTTTTTTTTTTTTTTTTTAAAATCACTGCTGGAATGCATCATCAAAGGTCTGAACTTCAAAAGTAGTCATTGAACAACTCAGCCTTGGTTGGCACTAGTTAGAAGAGCCAAGGTCTCTTCTTGGCTCAGCTATCATGTCCTGCATGTCCTCAGTCAAGCCTATTCTCTTTTGCTTCCCCCTCCACCTTCTCTGACCAGTATTTAAGCTGTGAGCTGTCTGATACACACAGCATATTTTGTTGATCTCAGCTGGAGTTTTTAGATACTGTGTAATATAAACAATAAATTTATAAAAGCAAACCAAGACAATGCTTGTTACAATAATATGTGAACCAATAACCCTAATTACCCTTACCCAGGTTGATGTGCAAGGAGAGCTTCCCTTTCTGCAGCTCCAAAGTAATGTAGTCTCCACGCTGTCCTTCTCCATGGAATAAGACTCCATCCCCCTGCATGCTCTTGAATTTCAAGGAAACCACATCTTTGAATGTGCTCATAAGCTTCTGATTGAACCTGTAGAGGAGTGAGCTTCTGCCGTCGAAGTCTGCAATATCTGACTCTGGGAGAAAGAAGATGGAAAAATGAAAAGAAGGGGCAGCTTCAGGAGAGGGACTGTATTTTTTCAGGATCTTTTAAAATACCACTTGGAGCCAGGTATTCTCAGAAGCGTACATCCACAGGATGTACGTGGCATCTGGGCAACCACATTTCACTCGTTTCCAATCCTCTCCCTCTGTCTGGGGAAAGGGAACACTAGGATAAAACCAGAACTCCTCTGCACTTGTCCTCCTCTCTCTCATGCAAGACTGCTTTCTCACTCAACTTTTTAGAACAGAACAGGTGCCTTCCATCATATTCAGATCTCCAGAACATCCCCTGCCACATGTGCTGTTTGCCTGAAACACTCCCAGGATGTTATTTATTACTTTGAACACTTCAGTTCTCGCTCCTCTTTTTGTAGCTTCACAAGCATCTGTTGAGCTGTTTCTGTGTGTCGGCCATGCCTGCATTCACCTCTGCATCCAAATAAGCAGCATCTTAGCCTCTGAGGGTTGGCTGCTTGTTTGTGATGGGCATTTATCAACCATGTTTCTGTATGCAAATTGACTAGGCTGGCAGGAGTAGTCAAGCATCAATTCAAAAAGCTTTTGAAGGGATTTCATGGGAACTGGGCATCTAAACTGATTATACACCTTTGAAAATCCTATTAGAAACATATTTTCCCCTTCAGCCAGCCTCCAAAACCCAATCACTGTGATAGGAAACAAGCTTTCAATTCTTCAGTTGCAATTAATATTTCCTTTGGCAGCAGCAGCCTTTGCTTTATAAAGTGGTATTTTAAGCAAAATGTATTTTTAATAAACTTAAAAAAAATAAATATATATATAAGCAGAACATTTCAGGTAGCTTTAAATACTTTTAACTAACACATTGTATTCAAACATGTGACCAACATATGTAAATTCAATTCCAATTTCTATCCAAATGCAATTTGACATAAATTATGGATAAAATATCTACTTGTAAATAATAAATCTGTCAATTGGTATTTCCTGTTGTTAAGGAAAACTTTAAGAATTAAAAACACCAGACGATGAAGAATTTGAGCAAGGGTTTACTAAGCTACGTAGGTACTGGAATACATGCATAAAGACAAAGAATACTTTCATAGTAACTAAGAAGAAAGAGCATAGACTGTCTTTGTTTGCAAACCATGTGTATTAATGATAATCCAAAGCTACCAGTTTTCCATTTTCTTTTGAAAAATAACTGAAAAGTCCATATGCAAAACAATCAAGACCTCCAGGTCAGCAACTGCACTGTGATTAAAGTTGGTGATTTAAGTCATCTAAGCTCCCTTGAGAGTTCTTCTATCCTTTTGAGCATTAACGGTAGTTTCATTTGTTCCTCTTTAAAAACGAAAGTAATAGGAGTTGGGTTTTTTTTTCCTTTTTTTCTTCTTTAAACTGGACCATTGATAACTTCTGCATGTCAATATGACAGTTTATACAGAAGTTCGATGGCACACTTACAAACTTGCAGGGAGCTCAAAATTTAAATTTGATGTGAAATTCTGTCACTCCAAAACTGATTCCATTCCAAATCAGAAGTCAACTGATTATTTCTTATGAGAATAAAACTACAAAGAAATTCAACCCTGGGAAAAATTCACTCCAGAATAAACTAAGACCAACTTCTTCTCTGTGATGCCAGAATTATAACATGCTGTTTAGCATCATACGTGGAACAGTTGTTTGTTTAGGAAGTATCATGAATACAAAAGTATTCACGCCATCTGCTTTTACTGGTTTTTACTTCTAAATTAGGTGTTCAGAAACAGCTCCTTAAGAATTGCTGATTTCTTTCTATTGACACCTTGACTGCCAGTTTCTATAAAGGGAATTAAATTCATAGTTTAGTTCTTATGAATTTCCCCTAGCTACATTAAATGCTTCAATTTGTTTAAAGTAAATTGCAAGTGTATCATAAAAATGGTTTCATTTTAACACAGGCAGGAATTAGAAAATAGCTTATAAAGAAGTTACAGTCTTTGATTTCCAGTGCATTTTGCAGTTAAAGTTGATTTTCCTCCAAGCTCTCAAAACCAAAGATACTGTAAGAGAGTTGTGATTCAATGTTGCCATAATAGCAGCCTTCTTTTCTTCTTCTTCTTAAGATCCAAGCCTTCAACCAGTCTGAATTCACACTTAAGTCCTTGTTTTTAACTCTCCTCTAAGCCACAGCATAACACACAATTTCTTGAAGAGCTCTACCACTGACATTTACAGAGTATAACACAAAGGAAAACCTGTTTCTGAGAAGTTCTGCTTCACTAATTATCAGTTGTGAGTACACTGGCCAATAAATAGCCCCAAACGAAATGGGAATATGTCAAATAAATGCTAACACTGGCAGCCAAAAGTCATTAGTGGCAGTTTGCATGACAACAAATCGTTGGCTTCCTGTTAAAAATTGAAAGATATAGCACAATTCTAATATAGTCACTCCAGAAAACCTGCTTGTTTGCTTAGTGTTTATTTAGTCCATGTACGTCCATAATCCACTCTCAGGCAGAGAACAAGGATCAGAAATGTTACAAGTCTCAGCAAATCTGTAGGAATAATAAACTAAAACACAACATGTAGTTTCATTCTGCACTGTCTGCTGGTTTACTTATGCTCCCTGAAGACAGACTTCACTCAGGCTGGGTACTTTTCTACCCTGTCCTCATCAACAAGGCTACAAAACTCATCAAAAGTGAGATCGGGCAAAAGACGCTTCTTTCATGTTATTCCCCACTGACCAACAACTCAAACAGATGCCTCTGCTGTAAATACATACAGAATCACAGAATTATTTAGGTCGGAAAAGACCCTTTAAGATCATCGAGTCCAACCATAAACCTAACACTGCCAAGTCCACCACTAAGCCATGTCCCTAAGTGCCACATCTACACATCTTTTAAATACCTCCAGGAATGGCGACTCAACCACATCCCGGGCCAGCCTGTTCCAACACTTGATAACACTTTCAGTGAAGAAATTTATCCAATCTAAATCTGCCCTGGCACAACCTGAGGCCATTTCCTCTTGTCCTATCATTTGCTACATGGGAAAAGAGACCAACACCCACCTCACTACAACCTCCTTTCAGGTAGCTGTAGAGAGCAGTAAGGTCTCCCCCGAGCCTCCAATTCTCCAGACTAAAAAACCCCAGTTCCCTCAGCCACTCCTCATAAGACTTGTTCTCTAGACCCTTCACCTTCTTTGTTGTTCTTCTCTGGACGTGGTCCAGCATCTCAATGTCTTTCCTGTAGCAAGGGGCCCAAAACTGTATTCAAGGTGCAGCTTCACCAGTGCCAAGTACAGGGGGCAGGAGTACATACATACTCCTGCTCACAGGTGAAAAAGTTCCCATAAAATAGAAATCATTCATCAAGCTTTTCTGAAATTCAGTAGAGGTTCTGGCCCCAGGGGTGCTGGTTATGTCATTCCATTTGAATTTCCTTTCCCAACACAGATCCAAACATGAAAGTCACTTGGGGGTGGGTGGAAACACAGGCAGTTAGTTGAAGATGGACTATCAGGTTAATTCAACTTCTTTTTTTTTTTTTTAAAAGGGAGAATGTAATCACAGAGCTCAACCTGTGGGACCAGCTGTGCTGAGAGGAGCCAGGCTGGGAGTAATGTGACAGCATGGAGTTTACTTGTGCAGCAATCTGCTCCTGGCAGCAGAGAGGATATACATTCTTATTTACAAAGACAGTCCTCCTAATGAGTTTAGAAAAAGTAAACACTTATTGACAGTTATTCCAAAATACAAAAATATCCCCTAGGAACAACTGCAATTTGAGACAGGAATTTTTGGTCTTGCATTTACATCAATGAACAGAAGCTTTAACTTCCTGCAGGAGGAGTAGGACTGTTTCTGGTCTGAACAGATCTCTCCTGGCCAGTCATGTCCTATTGACTTGAGTGAGTCTAAAGCAACCCGACTTCCCTCTCCTTACCCCTCTCAGACATGCAATCCAAAGGATGAATGTGGGTGAGCACTTCAGAAGTGACTGTTCTGCTGTGCAGTTTTATCCCTATCACAAATTTATGTCTGCCTCTTGCCAAGCAATTGTTTGGGTATTTATCTTATGCAGTTGGTTACAAACACTACTGGTCAATGATCATCAGACATTAAGTGGTTCTCTGCAATGCGTTCTTTTCTATCTCACAGGAAGACAAAGGAAAGGATGGAGGAAGGTAGGAAAAAAAAAGAAAAAAAAAGAGATGGAGATGAAAAAAGATCCAGTAAAAATATCATTTAATCAAAAAGCACAATACCAGATCATATTCCCTGAAGCAATGACAGCAAAAGATGAGAAATCAGTGTCCTAAACTGCAAATGAAGAACTCGGCTCTCAAAAGCAGAAGATACTGTCTCACACCCTATCATTGTTTCTCCTGCGGTTTCCCAGCCTGTTCACTGCACATACACCTGATTCTGCTGATGCATTTTGAGCTGTTAACCAGTTATAGAATATGATCAGCATCTTCAATGCAGCTATAAATCTTATCCTATAAAAGCAATTGTGTCAGCAGATTTTTTTTTTCCAACACTAAGCTAACAAGACTTTTCCCAAGTATAAAGATATACCCATTCCCCCCTCACCGCCCCCAGCATCAAAAGCAATTGGTTTACCATTTGTCTGAACACATCCTCTATTGCAGCTCTGGTTATCTGTTACAACCACACTGCTTCTGGAAACACTGCTGCAAAAGTACAGTGAGAGCTTACACATACCTCTGCATGGAAATTTCCATTTAACTCATCATAAATCCTTTTCTGAAAGGGAAACATCAACATATATTTTCAGATCAAGATCATCTCCTTCCTATTTCAGTACCTATTTTGAGGATGTGAGACGGAATCTTTACACGAATTTAAAATAAATGTAATTAACTTTCATTTAAATACATACTTTCTGTGTAAGAAAGTAAACAACAATTAGCATGTGTCATCTGTGAATTCCAGCTGATTTGACAGCCTTGGAGTGCTTTGTTGCACAGGAACTTTGATTGGTATGGGATAGGGTCAAGCACACTCATGTGTCTGAAAGAGCTTTATTGTAAAAATCATGGTTTTATGTTCCAAAGAAACAATGTCAACTGGCACCCAATTAGAGGATGAAAAGGAAAAGGTGGGGAGCGGGGGGAAGGAAAACAAAAAGAAAGACGAGAGCTGTCTTGTTTGACAGAGAAGTGTGGGGGATAAATTCATAGCAGTAAATTACTTCTAGCAGGAGCAATAAACAGTGAGTGCCATTCAGCAGCACAGTGCAATCACATGTTAAGTTAGCCACTTTGGCATCCACTGCACATAGCAGTTAATCACTAATATGATTCTTCAGTATTTTTTGTTACTGTGTCCTGGCAGAGTGTTTGGTGACCTACGAGACCTGATGCCTTCCACACACTCCCTGCTAAACAGTCATCACTGAAAGCTGCATTTGCCAAAAGTTAGCACAAGGTTTTGTTCCTGGAACCTGTTCAGCAGAGTATGCCGCACAGGACACTCATACTCCAAAAATGAGAGATCAGAACCTTGCGCTGACCCAGGAGTATCACATTCACCTAACCTTGCCATCACAAAAATGCTTAAGCAGCAGCGAAGCCACAAACCTCTCCTACAGCTGTCATCTCCTGCTCAAATATGCAAGGTTAAAAAGGAGCTGATGTGAGCAGAGACCATCCAAGGAACCACGGGCTATTTTACACACCCTGGTGCATCACAGTGAGGTGCTCAGCTGCATGTTTGGCAGTAGTCCCAGGGTTTTAACAGATGTGCAGCAGCACATGAAATTCAGATGGCCTAAGCTGTCAGTGTCCCCAGACTTTTGTTTCAGCCAAACAATAAATGCTGCCACTCACACAAAAAAAGATCTCCAAGCTTGTCTGTAAATGAAAACTTCACTTCTGCAGTTTTCTGCTCCAAATATCAATATAAAGCAACTCTGTTTTCAGATCAGGTGCTGTGCTTCCGAGGCAACATTTGCCTGAAAAGTGGAATGGACAGCCAGTAGTCCAGCATCATCTGAATTTCAACATGCTTCTACAAGTAGGCTAAGAGGTAGGAATAACCCCGCAGTCACACTTGTATGGTTGTGCAGGATTTGCTTCATGTGTGTTCCCCATGCACATGTTCTCTTTTTCTCTTACACTTCAGGACTGGATCCAAAGCTAAAATGCTGGTGGAAATCCTTTCTTCAACTTCAGTGGACTTAAGATCAAAAACTTTGGGTTTGTTTACCTATAGAAGCCTTTAACTCATTCCAACAGCTTAAAGAGGATTGGGCATAACTGGGAATTAGGCTCTTACAAGTGAATTTATATCAGCTGCAGCCTTTGGTAAGGTAGGTGACTATAATGCTGTTCCTACTCCCAGCCTCACGTCCTTACTTTCATATAAACACAAACACTTCCATGAAGGGTCATCTCTTAGAGATGGTGCACATTGGGACATTTGTTCTTCTAGTTCCATTTCCTTCCTGGCTTGTCCAACAGCCTGTCTCTTGTGATTTTTTCGGATCATTTTTAAAAACTCTCTTCAAATGATTAATATATTTCTTGTGCCAGAATTGAGCATGGTGGATGAGACTGTATGCTGTCACACGTTACAAAATGCAGTTATGTAGGCGTACACCAGCTCAGGATCTGCTGCAGATAGTCTGTCAGTGTAACAGTAAAGATGACATTTTATAAATGATCAAACATCTTTTGTACAGTGCTGCAGCACCTGCGTTAGGAGTAGCCAAGACCGCAAAACTATATAAGCAAAACCTGTAGACAGGTATTGCTTGGCATATGCAATTTGCCAGGGGGAAATCTGAATGGCACATTTATATAAACGGAATGAATATTTCAACACTCTGTAAAACTTTTATGAATCCCTTTATTTCTTTTGTGGCTTGCTTCAATCTCATACCTTGATTCTGCACAACCATTTTTATTTCCTGTAACTGCAGGGTACAGGACAAAGATGAAGACTTAGATGAAGCGCAAGGAAACTCAGCCTGCAAGTGACTCTGAAGTCTTCTCCGTATCATAGAAGATACAATCACCATCTGACATGAAAGTAGTGCCCGCGTAGTATTTCACAGAGTAACACCAAAACACATTCAGCTATAAAAGATTCAACCTTCAGTTTGAGTTCTGTTTGTTGCACATCTGTTTAGACTATACTCTTCGCTGTAGAGGTTTGGTCATCATTAACAGAAGAAAGCTCTTTGAAAACAGATGAGACAGCTGCTTTGGTATGATGTCATCAGGTGCAGTTGGTTCCGATTTATAGTTTTCAGTTTCCATGTCCACTGGTAGGGCTGGAAAAGGTCTCTTGCCCTAGTGACTTTCCATTCAGACCAGGCTGTTGCAGGTCTGTACTTAAATGAATGATAGTCCACAGTGCCTGAGCATCAAAGTAGGTGGAGAAGCAGCATTTAAAGAAAGCTGAATGGATCTTCTAGACCTACACATAGATCTACACACAGACCATAACAAGGATCTTCCTGTGAAACCATGTGAATCAGTCCTACAACCCGAGTGTAGTGATGAGGCCACTAAGAGTCCCAGAGCTGTGTCCCTGTTCAACGGGATTGTGTGAATCAAAAGGTTTAAGACACTTGCTCATTTATTCCCAAATAGGAGTTTTTCTGCTTATTATCTTACAACCCATTTCTGTACCCAGCAGAAGCAGATGAGGACGTAAGCTAAATGGAGAGATGTACAAGTACAGTAGTGTCACATGATGGTGACTTGTGCCACACCACGTTGAACTTACTGGTAAAATGCTGTTATCCCCTGAACTCTCCCCAGCAAAATCTCACCTGTCTCAAACAGTGTCTCAAGTCACACTTGACCATTTCAGAGATAAACCTACAGCCACCTGTGAAACAAATACCGGACTTGTGTTTCCTCATTTGTGGACCTGTTTTTGTTTTGTGCGAGGGAGTAACCTTGGTCCTTTTTCTTTACATTCACACTCTTCCGTGGTGACAGGTCATACATCTGCAGCAGTACAATAACTGTGTGGCTGAAATGCCCCAAAGGCAATGTCTGTAGGCTGCTGCAAAGCCCATGTGACAAAGCGCTGCAGACCATGTCTTGGAGGATCATCACCACGCGTTATGAAGAGTGCCAAAGAAAATGCTCATGCAAAGGCAGCAGATGAGTTCTCTTCTCTCTGGAGCTATAAAGTCATCAGCCTCAAATAGCAGTACTAGCTGCACAATCTGCAGCATTTCCTTCAACAACTAGTTAACTTGCCTTAAAACCAAAAATGAACTATTTAAGCAAAAGGTGGTACCATTCCCAAATAAAGCCCTACAAAAGATCCCAAGTAGCTTTGTGCCCTCCAGTGGAGCAGGAGGTTTTGCAGCATCTCACTGCCTTGCACTAGCAAGCAGCAGCAAATTGCTCTCTGGTGGGCTCAGTTCCGAGAAAGCTTCAGCAGCTGAGCTAGATGGGCCAGCGCATCCCTGAGCAGAAAGGCATGAACAACTACTGAAAAAATAAATGATGGCTACATATTTCACATTATCTTTTAACTCGTAAAACTTGTGCTGGACCCCTCCCGCAGCACTGACAGCATCAACAAAAAACTCTTTGAGAAAATGTGGATTAAGATGTAGCCACTTACTATAGGAGCAGCCGAAGACCTCAACTCTCAGTCCTATTCGCCCACCGACATTCCACTTCAGAGGGATGAAGCGCAAGAAGCGGGCTTTCGTGGAGTGCAGAAATTTGTGGTGAACCACACTGTCAGCATTGCTGTTCCCTGTGAAAACCTGGAAGGACAGAGAGCCTTGGTGAGACATTTAGCACTGACAGGTGAATGCAGCACTCTGAATTAAGGCTGTGAACTGCCACCCCTCTTCCTGATTCTCAGTCTTATAAATTACTCAAAATTATTGAAATGGATTGTCAAGTTTTCTTTTAAGTGCTGTGTCCCTTATGGAGGGAAAGGAGGGAGACAGCAGCACACAGAGCACCTCAGCGGAGTGGGGGGACGTATACAGCGAGTTACAAAAGCAGGTTGTAGATGGGGATGTTAGAGAAGCTGCTGCATAATTTCTCCAAAGCCAGGATATTCCTGCGCACCACAATACTCCATCAGCCCCTAACATACACACAGTCCCTTCAGCACAGTGAAGGATGGGGTCCAGTTTAGCCTTCGGTGCACTCAGGGCAGTAGAAAAAGATGGTCACAAGGCACTGAGGTTGGACAGAGCCTGGGAAGACGAACAGGAAAGTGAACATCTGGATATGCCACAGAAAACTCAAGCAAGACATAGGAAGAGATGAAAGCCTGAGCCAGTGCACGGGAGAGTCAGCATTTTGACTGTGTTTTCACCCAAGAGAGTTAAAGCTTGCAAACAATAATAATTTAACTGTTTTTTCTTGCCTATTTGATTAATTGCCTGCAACTGCAAGCCAAAATTAATGGACTTACTTAGAATTATCACTTAACAAGAGGAAATTCTCTCATGGATGAAGAATGACTGCAGGATTTCAAAGACAAACCTGAAGACAAGCATCCAAGCTCTGATGCTGCCTGAAGAATTTCAATTCATCTTTACACCCTTACTGTGTAACATTGGTCTAGGTGTATCATAGACTTCCCTCAATCTTCAGAATATTTGAGTAACTCAGCTAGGATTTAAATTCGAAGCTAACAGTTTTGTGAAACATGAAAACCAAAGACAGAACTTAAAAAAATAATCTCACAGGAAGGCGGTATTTGTAAAAGAGGTCCTTCGCTTTATAAATATAAAATTTCATCACAAAATGTTGTACCAGTTTTAAATGCTTCTGCAGCTCAAAAGCTGGCACCATTCACCTACGCAATGCAACTGCAAGCACAGATTGGAATAACCCCAGTAAAGTAGACCTACAATTCATTCCTGGTGGCCGAAGGATGAGTTAAAGAGATTGGGGGTTTCATCTCCACTCTGAAAAAAAGGACTAATTAGCAGCTGTTTAAATTTTTACTCAAATGCAAGCATTCCAACTTTTTCCCAAATGTTGTTAAAAAATCTGTAAAACTTCAAATTTAGTGTGCTCTTGTTTTACTAAACCCAGCGTGCTATTGTTTTATTAGAACTATATTCAATAAAAAAAAAAATCCTTGAACATTTCTAAGGCATAATACTTTGAAATCATACCATGCTTATTTCATTTCACCTTAAAAACTCTAACCTGGGAAAATTCTCTTATATGCAATAAGCCTTATTTTCCACCCAGTCATGAATGCAAAAGACAGCACACATCTCAATACATAAAACATGCTTTGCAGGTGCATTTCATTGCTGGTATCGCTTGCCTCTGAAGATGAACAATTTTACTGAAATGATTTCTCACAACCCCAGTTACCTCAGTGAAAAACCACCCTTCAAAACATATGATCTGTAAAATTATTTTTATTAGGTGCTTTTCAGGCTGAAAAGGGTATATAATTCAGCTATCCCAGCTGTCCCCAAAGCTTTGCTTATCCTGCATCTCTTCTTCTGAGCTTTTTATGCACAAGTTCTTGTTTTCTAGAAGTATTCTGTGATGGTTAACTAACCTCTCACAAATTCAGCTATACTATATAATTAAAATTTTTTGGATGAGGATTCGTGCTGATCTTAATTCAAAGTTAACCACATACAGCAGTTCAGCAGATCTGCCCATCAGACATGTTTTGAGGAGTGTCGCAAGTAGCACGTCAAGATGTCCTGGGCTTATTCATATTGCTTTCCAGATAGGAGCCAAAGTCAAATTCCAGCAGAGAGTATTTTAGGTTTTTTCCTCATATTTCAAGTGAAAAATCTTGTTGTTCTCAGTAATGAAACTGTCAGCAGAGAGTAAGTCTCACAGTCAGAGCTGTGGCAGCACTCACATTTTTATTAAGACACTCACAGATACATAAGATGGATAAACGGGAGTGTTGCTTTCTGTTTGTTTGCTTAGAAAGCTCATCCTCTTGATATGCTGTGATTATGTAAAAATCTCACCTTTCATAAGATAAAAAAGAAAGAAGGAAGAAAGAAGAAAAAGAACAGAGGTGGAGCAAAGAGTTTCCAGTCCTCCCAATTCTGAAGAAAAGCTTAAATGCAGTGACTAGAATGCAAGCAAAAGGTGAAAATTAAGAGACAAAAGAAAAAGTACACTTTAATACAGCAATACTGTGAAACAAGCATCTGTGTTGGTTTTTTTCTCATAATACTCTCATACACAAGGCTGTCAATACTGCACATTGCATCACAGGCCCACAAGGTAATAATTTTTTGGCTTATATAAAAAAAACATACTGGGAGAAAGAGCAAGTTGAAAAGCACAGCACCTCTAGAAATATCTCCTTGCAATTACAAAGTAATGGCAACCAGGCGATTTGCAAATACGACCGTGCGCTGAACAGCCCATGCATTCCTGCTTGGAAAGCAGGCAGGAATGCAGCCTGTGCCGGCACACCGCGGCACTCTGTCATCAGCGGGCCCTCGTGGCCGCTGGAAAACCACCGAGGCAGTTCACAGCTACCTGTAACTCTTGCTGAGGGCAGTCGTGACTCTTCTCTTGCAGGGCAAACCTGTAAAGACATTTTTTTGCAAAGCTTGTGCCAACCGCACGCCCGAGCACAACGCGCGGGAGCGCCACCGCTGCTCGCACACGCGGAGGCAGTCCTCTGCCTCCAGGCAGATGGTGTGTACAGCACACTTCAGGGACTGCCTGTGCAATCAAAGGAGCTTTGTGGTTTTGCTGGATAAAACAGAGAAAGCTGTACCCCACCATCCACAAGCAGACCCAGGTGCCCACCCGCAGGCATCTGTGCTGGATAGGTTTCCTTCACGACACCCCATGGAAGAGCCAGAATTACCCACACCCAGCCTCCAAATCAGTTGATTCCAAGCCTGATGCGCAGCTATGTAAAAAATTTCCTTCCCACGTTGAAACAGTCATGTTGGTAAAAATAAACCCTTCAAAAGTCCAATACATCCCTTACGGCAGTGTTTCTCAAGCTTCTCTAATAACCAAAGAGCCAATGAAACTTTTTGTAGAAAAAAAAAATCCACAGGCAATGCTGTACCCATCGATCTGCGCCTATGAGATGGTTTTGCATGCAGCTGGCACACCACTGCTTGCTGCTAACTGCGGGGCGTGTATGCCTTTAGGATTGCTTTGATTTTCACTTCCAACTCCCACTGCTATACAGATCACCTTCCAATGTTTTATGGACCACCTGTGGGCTGTAGACCATTGATTGAATAACACCAATTGCCACAGATGGTCACTTGAAAACTTAGATCCACAGCTGACACGGAAATAATCCATCCATTAAAGAAGGTGAAACAAGGATGCAGTACCAGATTCCGTAGCCCTGGAGGTTCAAATATTGATTAACAGTAAACTTAACGGTGAGAATGGCAGAAATACTTCCTCTTGAGAAACGGCCTCCATTACAACTTGTTGTTGATAGGGATTAATTCACAGGAACAAAACAACAAGCTAGCAAAGAAAACAGAGCACCCACATGCCATTTCCCATGCAACACAGTTGCTCTAGGAAGGAGCGTAACGCTGAAATCCGTGGTTTCTTACAAGCACTCTAAACACAACAGACTGATGATTTACTTGGGAAATTCTGTTTCTGGCATTCTATGGGGCTTATAAATCAAAAAGCTCCATTAGCACCAAATATTGCCACCACCTTCTTGAAGGCAAAAGCTTTTCCCTGGTGCTAGTGGCTGTAAGGTTAACAGCTTGCCACGGGCAGGGCTGCCTCTCGGACCAAGCTTGTTTGACGATGCCTGGCTGCGCGATGCCCCGCTGTGACACAGAGCGTGGCACCACAGTAATATTTTATGAGGCTTTTTTTATGAGCCAGCAAAGACAGGTCCCACTGGCAGGCAGAGGTGAGGTAAGAACAGCTGCAGTGGTTTGGAGCAGGGTCCAACCAGCCCAGTGCTACCTCTTTGGCAGTGGCTGTCGGCAGGTAGGGAAGAGTAAGAGCAAGACAAGCATGTACAACACTTTTCCCAATGGTCAGCCCACCTGGTTCATGGGTTATACTGAAGGGGAACAAAATAGAATTCCAGTTTAGAAGAAAACTTTCAAAGAAGTTTAAATCTCAAACCCACCGTCATTACTTGGAATTTGGATGTATGACTCCCCCAGGAAACATAACAATTCAAATGAATGGGCTGTTTATACAACTCTCCCGTTCAGGGGGATCCCCAAAGCTGTTCAAGGGCAGTTCAGGAAAATGTCACACAACTGTGGTGAAACATGACAGTTGTTTAATAACCCTGCAGACACACATTTGTTTCTCTACCTCATGTATTAACTCAGATCTACGCCACATCAGACCAGTGAGTTCTGATGTGCTTAACTTTAGATCACCCTTTGGCCAAACTCTTAAACCGATCTCCACCTTTAGACAGACGAGTGGAAACTGGGTGCAAGAAAAGTGTCTGCTCATGAAAGCCTAATCAATTCAAAAGATAGCATCAGACGCAGGACTTTATCTCAGTCTCTCCTGCACAGACACTCTGCACAGCAAATAGCAACTTATTTACAGAGCTGCAGAATGTAGTTCCCACAATGACTCTGCTGAATATATTTTGCTCTCCCACTTTGTTAGGCAGGTAATGGGATGGGTTCAAAATGAGTATGCAAGCAGCAACATAGGCACAATCAACCCTGAACAGTGAGCAGGCAGACCTGAGGTTAACTACCTTCTAGGGGAGATATTTTAAGACGTATTGAATACTCTCATTTCTGCCAAAGTTATTCTGATGAACTGAGCTGAG